GCGAACATGGAGTACATGCTTGTTCAAATCCAGGAGAAGGTCGAAGCGATGGACGCCGCCAGGGCGAACCCGTTGCCGGAATCCGAACCTGCAGCCGCCGTGGCTGGATCTGCCATGAAGGAGGATCTAGTCAACATCGAAGAGCTTCTGAAAGATGTGCAAGCCGCAGTCCTTCTCATGCAAGATCGCGAAACACCAGCGCCTACACTTGAAGGCATCGCTAGGAAGGAAGACACCGACGCCATCGAGACTCTTCTTGCGAACACCAAGGCCAAGATTGAGGAGCTCGTACTACCAGACCCAGCGACCGCTATCACCAAGGAGAATCTGGAAGATGTCGAGATCGTTGTCCGCACAACGTCCGAGGCCTTGGAGGCACTTGCTAAGAAGTTCGAGGAGGAAGGTGCCACGAAAGCAGACGTGACAGTCATTCAGGTCATCGCCGACGACATCAAGGTTGCTCTCGACGAGATGAAGGCCGCTAAGGCTGACGACGAGGCCAACCCACAAGCGACCAAGGCAGATATCGATGCCGTCACTCTGCTTGTGGATGACCTCAAAGTAAAGATTGACGACATGAAGATCCCAGACCCAGAAGAACTTCCATCAAAGGCCGATTTAGAACAGCTCACTGGTCTGATCCACGACTTCCGCGACAGCCATGACAAGATGAAGGACACCTACGAGGAGGACATCATGAAGACTGCTACCAACTTCGACGAACGCCGCGCTGAAGCTGCCCAACTTGTAGAGGACATCACCGGCGTCAAGACTGCATTGGACGAGATGCGGGAGGAGATCAAGACCACTCTCATCGAAGGCGGCCCCATTGAGGGTCTTCAGGCTTCTTTCAAGACCTTGGAAGAGACCCTGGGCGCCAACAACGTCACTGCTGACGTCAAGGAACTCATGGAGATCCTTACCAGGGAGTTCGAGCGCGCCCACGGATCTATCGAGGGACTCCAGAATGACCAAGCGGAGAAGTCTGCACTTCACCTCGAGAAGCACGACGAAGTCAAAGCCGCGATCATTGCGGGCTTCACGGAAAGCCTAGAGGACAAGTTCAACACTCTCATGGCCAAGTACGATGATGCTCAGCTCTTGGCCGACGAACTTGCCAAGGTCATGAAGGAGAAGTCCGAGGAACAAGAGAAGATCCTTGAAAGCAACAGGGCAACTGCTGACGAGCTTCGTCTGACCATTGACACTCTTGGCGCCACCATCGCTGGAATGAACGACCGAATGGAAGGCACCACCACCCAATGGTCAACCGACTCTGCTTCCATGATTGGAAAGGTAGAGGAGACACTCGCCAAGTACGAAGAGCAGAAGCTTGCGATGATGGAGAAGCTTGAGGAGCAGAAGCTTGAGACTATCGCCAAGCTTGAAGAGCAGAAGAGCGAGACCATCGCCAAGCTCGAAGAGCAGAAGAACGACACCATTGCCAAGTTTGAAGAACAGAAGCTCGACGACAAGACGGAGCACTCCCACACCCGTGATGAGATCAAGAACGTCGAGAATATCTTCACCAATCTCCAGGATAACATTACGGAGTATCACCCCAAGTTCATGGTTGCCTTGCACGAGATCGAAGCTCTTGTCAAGGCTCACTACGAGCACGCACAGAAGACCAAGGAGGAGGCAGACGAGAACGTTCGTGCTTGGAACGAAGAAGCCAAGGCTCGCTCAGAAGAGTTGCAGACGCACTTTGCCAATCTGCCCAAACTACTTCCAGCCCCTACGCCGTCTATCGAGCTTCCCGAGAAGTACGACGATGCACCTGTGCAAGAGAAGCTCGACAAGCTGCTGGCGATCGAACCTGCGCCAAGCTACAATGACGGAGCTGTACACGAAAAGCTCGACAAGCTCATTGGTCATGCTGATGACGCAAGTAAAGCTGCAGGCAACTTGGAGAAGTTGGACGAGATTCACGCTCAAGTCAAGATGACTGCCGTAGAGCTGAGCGACTTCGTCGCCAAGCAGACGCAGTTCATCACCGATGGCAACGAGTCCAAGGAACGCGAAGCTGAGGAGCTCGCTCTGCTCATTGAGCGCAGGACAACCCAGAAGGAGCAGCTGGAAGTCGACTTGGAAAGTCTGCGAGCTGAGAAGGCTACTCAGAAGGAGCAACTCTTCGCAGACATCCAGGAGATGAAGGCTGAGAAGGATCGCGTCGTTCAAGAGCTCAAAGAGGAGAAGGAGCGTGTCATGGCCGAGCTGCAAGAAGAGAAGGATCGCACTATGGCTGAGCTCAAGGAAGAGAAAGACTCGCTTCTTGCTGCCGTTGCCAGTCTGCAAGCGGAGCGCGAGAACCTCGCCAACCAGAAGGTCCGCCTTACTGGTGAAGTCTCGTCTCTGCACACTGCGCTTGACATTCGACGAGAGGAGCTGCACTTCATGGACACCAAGGCTGACGCACTCGAGCGTCGCATCCTGAACGGCATCATGGATCACTCCCGTGCTCTGATGATGACCAAGGGCGGCTCGAAGAACGCTTCGAAGCTCAAGAAGCGCATGAACGCAGACGCTGCCAATGAGGACACCAGGACCATGCCACCTCCCAGCACTGCCGCGAATGGTCTTTCTCTTGCGCTCAAGCCCCGCCCTGCTATCCGTCGCAACGGTGCACCTGCCAACCCAGCACAACGCCGCATCCTATCTCTTAGTCAGATCAGCGGTAACGCCCCTACAGGAGCTCAAGCTTATCCGACAACCAAAGCTTCGGTTGATAGCAATGCCGGACTGAAGCGCAGCCACTCTGTCAAGACCAGCAACTACTCTCGCAAGGGCTCTTGGGGCGGTCGCCCTAGCGCCGTCATTGCCAACAAGGAGAATGATGTTCTGCCTGAGGAGGATGAGCACGAGACAGCGCCGATCTCGCACGAAATCATCGAGGAGGACGCACAGAGCGAGACCGGTACTGAGCGTCGTTACAGTCTCGACAGCCGCGACTACGCTGAGGGTGAGACGCCAGGCTATGACGGTCGCTCCAGCTTTGGTGGCACAGGCAGCGAGTACACATACGCCTCCGGTTCCTCGTACATGACTGGTAGCGACATCGACCGCCGCACCTCGTATGGTGCTCAGTCAGCTCGCTCTGCTGCGCCCGGTGAAGAGCGCATCGACGAGGAGGGCTCTGTTTACTCCGAAGACGAAGAAGACGATGAACCCACTGCTACTATCAACCCATCCGACGTCACTGGCTCCGAAATCTCGACGGCCACTACCGAGAACGACGTCGAGCTGCCAACACAGTCGGAAATCGTTCGTGCTGTCGACGCGGTGAAGGAAGAGATGAAGGAGAACTATGCCCCACCCAGCGACTCCGGTGTAGGCACTGACCTTCCTACTGCCGCCTTCAACGAATCCGAGATGGACGCCGATTACTTCCGGCGTGCGGCTGAGGAAGAGGCGAGCACTGTCGGCTAAACCCACATCTACGAAATCTATTGACGACTGCTGATACGAACACGCTCCTGCGTCTCGCTCCGTAACTCCCGGTTTGAAGCTTCGACTCGCCCTCTGAGGGTTCTAGAGTTGGCATCGCCGCTTGGTATGTCGAGCTTGACCATGACGTGTTCTTCGAAGTCGCAATGCATGATTGATGGCTTATGTGTACGTGTCACGGCATGACGAAGTTTGGATGGCATTGATGTTGTCGGGATGCAGGTTCACGAGGAACGAACGGTATGACGAGCTTTGAGATGTTTTTCCCGGCGTTGATTATCGGGTGTTTGGATAGGAATCGGCGGATGTACGCATTTGGGTCTCTGGGTCTGGCGTTTGTTCGGTTAACTCGCTGGAGTCACATTGCTGTTTACATACTTGTTCTTGTTTATAACTTTAGCCGATACGCGAGCTCTTCCATGAGCGTAATGAAACGATCGCCTTCACTTGTTCGCCCATTGCCGTGATAAAGTCTGATCATCATCACCCAGAACTCTAACTTGTCCCTTATTGTACATCTGGATACTAGTCCAGGAATCGCTGCTTGAGACGTCGGATTATTACTCGTCGTCATCTCCTTCCTCGTCTGCCTTCTTCGCGGTCTCGTCTTCTTTTTCCTCATCCTCGTCCTCAGTTGCCTCCATCTTATCCTCCGTTTTCGCATTCAGATCAGCCTCGTAATCCGGCCGCACGACCGGTATATCCTTCTTCGCGAGCGCTGATTCGATAAGCGGTGCCGATGCGAGTAAAGCGTTGTATTGATCGACTGTAAGCGAGATGCCCTGTATGAGAAACCCGTGTTAGCAACCCAACCATCTAAAGGAGCATACAGGAGAAATAGAATGTACACACCTTCTTCCCCGGCCTCGTCTCTCCAGAATCAGTGACGTAGTACTCCCGTATGCTAACAAGCGTACTCTTGTTGAAATCGCTAACTGTGACGCGTCGTTTGCCGCTGGCGTTGAGCTGGCGTTTTCGTCAGCACTCTTCTGCCCACTGTCCTCGGTTTACTCTGGCCGTGGCTACTCACACCAACATATGCATCGCCGTTATCATCCGTCTTCAGCTCAGGTACCACTGGTACCGATTCCTCGTCGTCGTCTCCGGATTTGGTCTTCTTGCTTACGCGCGGCGTGTTGTCGTCGTCGGCGTCAGGTGAGGAGCGTTTCTTTGTGAAGGTCTTTTTGTAGTTGCTGCCACCTCGGGCGCCGCCTCGTTTTGTGAAACCTGCCATTGTATGTTGGGAGGGGATGGGTTCGGACGTATAAGGTGCAAGACGTTAGATTTGGAGTTCGGATTGTACTGCTCGTGGCGATGACGCGGGGAGTGCGCGTCGCGCTAAGAAAGCGCGCTAGAGACGCGGTCATGTGATTAGGCGACGCGACTTGCTCTCTTCCGGCCGTCGTGTAGCTCTTGCCCTCGAGCTTGAATGGTCTTTCCCTCTCTCAAGGTAGTTCTCGTTATGACACTCTTTGTCTTGTATACTTCATTCTTCTATGTAAGCGAGTGTCGACTTGACTAATCTATCTACTGTGGTCATGATCCTATAATGTCTAAATGGCGTGTATCACTTCATCAGCCTTCGGTGCCCTATGTACTTCGCTCCATGGCCGTGAAGGTCGCATCGGCTGCACCTTTTGTGGTCTTTCTAAGCTCAGCGGTCCAGAGATCTCTTTCTCAAACTCTTGCGAAATCCTGCCCTCGTGGCTGAGAACAGAGTCCGCGCGTCCCATCTCGATGTCTTTAGCTACCGACGCCCTTCCGTGTGCATTCGGGTCGATCAGGATTGATGGTACACGCGGATCATACATCGTTGGGACGCGACTGCGTGAAGGAGGTGGAACAACAGCGTCGTATCCGTGGAAACCCATGCCGAGTGCCGATGCAGTGGGTTCGAATGAACAGCTCTCCTTCTCTCGGGCGCGACGGCACGCGTCGATCGTCGCGGTGATGAATGTGATCAAGAAGAGGAACCATCCTGCTCCGGCTGCGATGGTGTAACCACGGCTAAGATCGACCAGGATCGCGAACATCATGAGGTTTGGGTTCGCCGCCGTGTCGAGACGCGTTTCGCTAAAAGTCTCGAGACTCATGTTGAAGCTGAGAGAAACGCCGAGAGCGACTGCCATGGCGCACATGCACAGGCATTCGATGGGGATAAGGGCCGCTGAGGGTATGCGCAGGCGTTGGATGATGGCTGTCAAGACGATTACCATGCCCGCAAGCGAAGCAAAGCCGGCCTGCCTGCATGTTAGTACAACGGTATTGATCGATGACTGTTGCACGTACAGCCGCGACTGAGATCCAGATCTTGATGGCGCCTTTGTACACCGTAGCAAAGTATTCTTTCCAATACTCCGCCATTTGAGCCTCTGGCTGAAGCGCGTCCATGATCCCGGTACCACGACTCTTCATATCGCGAATGATGAACTGGGCTAATTGAAATGATTAGCACCATTTTTCCATGTTCTTGTTTGAAAGATGAACACTTACACCAAGCACCTAGTCCTAGCACTCCCATTGCCACGATCAGGGCTAGGACCCTTATTGACAGCAATATCGATTTGCCATATCCCATTCTCGTACAAGAATTGATGAAGAATACGAGATGAAATGGATGCAAAGTATAAGCACAGTCCAGCTGGCAGCTGCTCACAGAGCGCTAAAATGAAAGTAAGTGGTGTCTAAACGAGTGAGTGGTAGGCACGAAAAGAAAACCCGTTTGCACGAGCGGATGCAGTATCGTTATTGAGGCAAACGTCACATTGTCAATAAAGTTCGGAGCCTCAGGAGCCGGGTGCCTTGATGTGATGCCTTGTGCAGCTTGAGTGGGGGTGGAAACATCTGAGGTGCAGGGTGGCTGGTAGTGCCTGAGCGTGCAGGCAGACCTGATTCAAGACCTGCGATGTCAACGCGCCACCATTTCTTCCACGCGGAGCTCTGACTCCGACCCGTACCTGAGCATAAGGCAGAAGAATCTTCTGGAGCACTGGTCTCTCTTTGTACCCTTGCTTCTCGCCTCACAGCTCATTGTTCAAGCGTTCATGCCATCGCAGCTCAGCAATTGGCCAGCAAACCCGAAGATTTCCCACGGAATGTTGTGATCCGCCGTAAGAGGAATGCGTCCACGCGCATTGACAGTTGTGACGTTCCGATAATGAGGAACGGCTGGGGTGATGCATGTTTCTCCACGTGTTGGCGGTCTTGAGACAGAACCTGAGGCACCAAGGCGTCGCCATTGTCAGGCTGAAACGGGCGTCAGACCCGGGAACTGTAGCAACGCTATCAACGCTTTCCGGAAGGTTCCGTCACCATATAGCCAGGCTGCTCCATAAGTAACGACCGTGCCGCTATGATGCCGCCAACATTTGGCTGAGGTCGCAACCTTGGAATATCTGCACGGCCTACCTAGGTAAGCACGACGCGCTAAATCGCTTCGGGGTTCGGGCGATTGTTATCCGGGGCTACTTCATGATCCGACTTCCGACAGCGAAAGCCCGGAAAACATGGATGACGAGTTCTCGGTGCTAATGTAAAAGCATCATGGCCAGGCCAAGCATTGCGATGCTTCGACCGTGAATTTGATTCATGCCTGCGGAATGATGAATACCTAGGTAGGTGAGTCTGTGTGAAAGCCGGCCATGCAAACGTTTTCGTCTTATCGATCAAGGTCTTCTCCGTTACGAATGAAGACGGCTTTGAATTGCAGTACTACAGTGTGCAAGACCTTTGAGATGGAGATGTTGTGCTTTCATGGAATACAGAGCGGGGCGATGCGAAGAAGCATCTGGGTAATCGTCGGCGAAGCTAGCCTGTCGGCAATCGCCAGTCGTGCCGACCATCCTCCATCCAGCAGCCATCGACACTTGTATCCGCTCTCCCCTCTCCGCCAAGGCAAAATGCGGAGAACGGTTGGGGAGAACGGTAGCATTGCGGATGGCTCGTCACGAGGCCCATATGGTATTCCGGTGGAATCCCGAATGACGTGGGTAGATCGCGAGACGGATGCAGAATTTTCGGAAGTATTTAGCTACCCGTGAATCCAAGGACTGCTTTCATCGTGTTGCAGACGAGAGTTTTGCAGGATGAGATACTCCAGCGCAGTTGCGGTGAGCTTCGCTCTATTGCCAAATCTAGCGGTCTCGCAAGGATACACCAATGAGTCGGAGGTTCCATTATACGGACTTAGTCCGCCAGTATACCCGACCCGTGAGTGTTTTGGTCATGATCGAAAGTCAAAGGACTAACAATAGACAGCTGTCGGTAATGGAACAACCTCGTCTTCTTGGGCATCCGCATATGCTCGAGCGAGAGACCTCGTGGCACAATTGACGCTAGAGGAGAAGTCGAACCTCACACATGGCGTCTCCGGTCCTTGCGTAGGCCAAACGGGAGCTGTACCTCGTCTTCAGATCCCAGAGCTATGTTTCGCGGATGCACCTGCCGGCGTGCGAGGACAAGAATTTGTCTCCTCATTCCCTGCTGGCATTCATCTTGGAGCTACGTTCGATCGAGATCTCATGCTCAGATATGGCCATGCTCTCGGTAGAGAGTACAGAGGAAAGGGCATTCATGTTGCTCTCGGCCCATTCATCGGCCCTATTGGAAGAGTCGCGCGCGGCGGTAGAAATTGGGAAGGTCTCGGTGCCGACCCGTATCTTGCTGGTATTGGCGGTGGTCTCATCACCAGAGGTACACAGAAAGAGGGCGTGATCGCTACACCAAAGGTAAGCGACATCGTAAATACGATGAGAGTTTTGGCTGATCGTATCAATAGCATTGGCTTGCGCAAGAACAAGAGTACAGGCGACGCCCTGGTGACGAAGGCGAGGCCGTCTCTTCGAATGTGGACGATCGCACACTTCACGAGCTCTATGCTTGGCCATTCATGGATGCCCTGCGTGAAGGAGCCGGTTCGCTGATGTGCTCATACCAGCGAATCAACAATTCATACGGATGCCAGAACAGCAAGCTTATGAACGGAATTTTGAAGGAAGAGTTGGGTTTCGAGGGTTTCGTGGTATCTGACTGGGATGCGCAGCACGCCGGTGTCGCTTCAGCCAATGCCGGTCTCGATGTGGTGATGCCTGTTGCCAAATTCTGGGGCGAGAACCTTACCGATGCGGTTAACAACGGATCCGTTACTACAGAGAGGCTCGATGACATGAACACAAGACTACTCGCAGCCTGGTTCTATCTCAACCAAGATGAGGGATTCCCCGAGAACGCCGTCTACCCATACAACGTCGAACACGAAATCGTTGACGTGCGCGAAGACCACGCATCTCTCATCCGAGAGATCGGAGCTGCCGGAACCGTGCTGGTTAAGAACGTCAACAACACTCTACCACTCCAACACCCCCGCTTCTTGAACATCTACGGCTACGATGCTGAAGTAAAGTCCCAGCCATGGAACAACCCATCTCGATTCGGTGGTGGCTATGAAGAGAATTTCGGCTGGAACACGCTCAACGGCACCCTCATTACGGCAGGCGGATCAGGCTCCAGTACTCCGCCTTACGTTATCAGCCCTTTCAACGCCATTCAGAATCGCGTAATTGCGGACCGCGGAACTGTACGATGGGACTTCTTTGGAGTGAACCCGACCGTGTACGCAAATGCTGACGCATGCCTCGTCTTCATCAACGCATACGCTTCGGAAAGTTTCGATCGCACTTCTCTTACAGATGAGTTCAGCGACCAGCTTGTCAACAACGTTGCAACCAACTGCTCAAACACGGTTGTTGTACTGCACTCCGCCGGCATCCGCACCGTTGACGCATGGATTGACCACCCCAACGTCACCGCCGTCCTTTTCGCGGGTGTTCCTGGTCAGGAAAGCGGTAATGCCATCGCCGACGTTCTTTACGGTGATGTGAATCCATCCGGACGTTTGCCGTACACTGTCGCAAAGCAAGAGTCCGATTACGGCCACCTTCTCAATTCGACTCTCGACCCTTCCATCCCCGCATTCTTGCAATCGGACTTCACCGAGGGCTTGTACATCGACTACCGCGCTTTCGACGCGCAAAACATCACACCGCAGTATGAATTCGGTTACGGGCTTTCATACACGACATTCGGCTATGCGAACATGACAGTTGAGCCTGTGGCGAATGCAAGTCTCGCTGCCTTCCCGTCCACATCTGTGCCGATTGTACAAGGAGGTCACCCTTGGCTATGGCAAGTCTTGTACCGTGCCACAGTCACCATTACCAACACTGGTAAGGTAGCTGGTCGCGAAGTAGCGCAGCTATACTTGGGCGTACCAAATGCGCCGGCGAAGCAGCTGAGAGGTTTCGAACGCGTTGGCTTGTTGCAGCCTGGTGAAAGCCGAGAGGTCGAGTTCACATTAGACCGACGCGATCTGAGTGTCTGGAACGTTACGGCTCAGGCGTGGGAGCTCCAGAGGGGCCGATACGCGGTTTGGGTAGGAGCAAGCAGCCGTAATATGAAGCAAGAGGGCGAGATAGTGATCGAGTAGGCTAGTAAGATGATTCAGTAATGTCTGTACTTACGACCTTCGTCATTGTATTTTTTGCAGTCTTTGCAGTCTTGTGAAGTGATGAAACAGTGACGTCTCGGTATCCCCATTCATCAAAATGCTCCATCTTAAGGCACAGCCAGGAACATGTGTGTTTGCCCTGCGTAGTAGCTCAACCTCTGTTCACTCGCTGGACTATTGATCTAACAATTTCTGAAGCACGCCGATCGAATTATGGCTTGATGTGTCATGTTCCAAGCAATTGTTTGTATGCGGCTACGATGCAAGCCATCTACTTGGTTTGTCAACATCAAGCTGGTCGAAGGGGACTCGCAGCATACCCCTGAGTGCTTTTGCCCCCGCCCTGGAGAACCACGGTCTTAGTGCCTGTTCTGCGAAGAGGCAAGAATGCACAGACTAATATACGATGCAGTGAATGCAAAAAAGCCCATGCTACTGCTAGAGGGCCTCCTTCTGCCTAGCACTCTCCCCTTGTTCTATATCAGGCCCAGCTCTCTAGGGGCACTACCATTCTCCAACGGATCACTCCACTCAACTCCAAAGCCTTGAATCTTTTCAAGGACTCATATACCTAGTATATCCATAACAGTCATGGTTAAACTCATTGACTACCCTGTGTCGGTAAGTCTCTTGGAGTCTTCGCCGCCCTTGCGATACTCACAATTATTAGGAGGACATCCAAAAGTCCTACGCGTCCTTCGTAAAGTCAGTCGAGGAGAGTCTTGCTCCTATGCTTTCCACCGAAGATCTGGATCCCGTCCTTCTCGAGGCCTTCCAGCATCTTGCTTTGACCGCCGAAGGCTTTATCGAATACAGTAACGAACACGACTCCGTGGAAGACTGGAACGATCCTTATACCACAGAGAACAATGTGTTCCAGGATATGATCAGTATATGCACGGTGTATCAGCAGAGAACATTGGCCGATGGCGAATTCTCCAAATTGGCACGAGCTGGTATGCAATGTATGAAGCATGCCTACGACCCTCCGCCGCTGGACATGCTCTCCTACCCAC